ATGGGCCTGTACTTGTCTTGTTTAAGGCAATTTTGGTGGTGATGGTGGTCTATTTTGTCCTCCTCTACCTAGAACGGCGTCACAAGCTCGTTAGCGATTGTCGCACGGGATTAGCCTTCCTGTCTGTACTTTTCGATATGTTCGTCTTCAACAAACCGCGCACATTTGCCCGTTGCTTCGCTGACGCGGTCCGCAAATGGCCTGACAAGGTAGCGGTCCAGTTCGTAGACGACGGCCGGGAGCTGACCTTCCGGGAGATAGACCTCCGCGCCAACCAGGTAGCCCACCTGCTGGCGCAGCACGGACTGGGCCGGGGGGACGTGGGTGCGATCATGATGACGAACAAACCCGAGTACATCATTGTCGAGCTGGCCATTGCCAAGTTGGGGGCTGTGTCGGCTCTGCTGAACTTCAACTTGAAGGGCGAGCCTCTGCGCCACAGCCTGCAGGTGGCGGGGGCCAAGCTCCTTGTCTTCGACGACGAGCTCGCCCAGGTGGTGCTGCCCGTGGTACAGGCCTTCAGTCTGGCCAAGCCGGGGGAAGAGAACGGGGGCCCGGTGAAGGGAAAGCCTGGGAGAGGAAAGGGAGCCCCGGCGGCCGCGGGCGGCACCATCCCTGCCCTCTTCGTGGGTCCGGGGGACGCGGCCATTCGGAAATGGGCCGTGAGTCTGGACAAGGGTGTGGCTATGCAGCATGAGACAGTGCCGGACCCCTCCATCCTCTCCAACCAGTCGCAGAACGAGCCCATGTCTCTGGTCTATACGAGTGGGACCACCGGGCTGCCCAAGGCGGCCGTTGTCAAGCACAAGCGCGTCTTCCTCATGTCCATGAGCTTCGCCCGTCAGTTCGCCGTACGGCACTCGGACAAGATCTACTGCACCTTGCCTCTCTACCACTCCGCCGGGGGAAACATCGGCCTGGGCATCATGGTCAACAAGGGCTGCACCCTCGCTTTGCGCTCCAAGTTCTCCGCCTCCAAATTTTTCAAGGACGTGCACGACACGGGCGCGACCGTCACGCAGTACATTGGGGAGCTTTGTCGCTACCTCCTGGCCACGCCACCCTCGCCCTACGACCGAAAGCACAAGCTCCGGCTTGCATTTGGGAATGGGCTGCGTCCAGATGTGTGGCCCCGGTTCGTCAGCAGGTTTAACATCCCCGAAATCGGCGAGTTCTACGGCGCAACGGAGGGGAACGTGGTTTTTTTCAATTACTGGGGCCGAGGGGAGCCGTCTGGTGCCATTGGAAAGGGTGGCTTCTTCAACAGGATCATCCTGGGATGGACGATCGTCAAGTTCGACCCGATCAAGGAGGAGCCGATCAGGGACAGCATGGGCAGGTGCGTTCCTTGCGCGGACGGGGAAGCGGGAGAGCTCTTGGCCCGCATCTCGGGGACCTCGGAATTCTCGGGGTACTACAAAAACAAGGAAGCGACAGAGAAGAAGGTGCTCCGGGAAGCCTTTGGACGCAAAGGGTCGCACTGGTTTCGGTCGGGCGACTTGATCATGGTGGACGAACAGAGCTACATTCATTTCGTGGATCGGATCGGTGACACCTTCCGGTGGAAAGGTGAGAATGTGTCAACGACGGAAGTGGCGTTGGCCTTGGGACGGGTGGACTGCCTGGAGGAGGTGAATGTGGTGGGGGTGGAGGTTCCAGGGAAGGACGGAAGGGCATGTCTGGCGGCGATCACACTGCGCGACGGGAAAGAGCTTGACTTGGACATGACCTTGGAGGAAGCGAGAGCACACCTGCCGGCCTACGCTGTGCCACTTTTCCTTCGCGTCTTGAAAAAGGGGACGCAGGAAACGACAGGGACCTTCAAGCACATGAAGGCCAAGTACCGTACCGAGGGCATCGACGCGGGGGCGATCGCGGATGACATGTATTGGCTGGACCCTTCGGAGGGTGTATACAAGCCTTATGGCAAGGCGGAGTACCAGAAAATCGTGTCTGGCAAAGCGAAACTCTAGCCTTGGTAGCACGTCGAGGCGGCGAGTCTGTAGGCTCCGTAACGTGGGCGAGTCAAAATGCTTTCTTATCAATGTATAGTGAGCTTGAACCTCTCACACGTTTGCGTGATTGCGTCGAAATGATGGACAGGACTGACGTCCCATTGGAGCCCACAAGAGATGACGCGGGGCAGTGATACGATGCTGGCCGCAGTGGATGGAAAGTTTGCCGCGGACCCAAAAAGGAATGTAGGACATGTACGATGCAAGAAATCGTCTATAAATTATGCAATTCTATACAGTTGTCGTATGACCTGATGAACTTAAGTTTTAAAACGAGATGAAAACGCGCAAAAGAAACTAATGCCTTTGATCGGGATGCTTTTGAGGCGAAAGGCACCAAAACGTTTCGCTTATCCGGTGCGGTCCTCACAGTATCAAGTTTTAGATGAATGAGAACCAGAAAGCAGTCGACAGAGCACGGGGTGGCGCTTCCTGCCGTCCGACACCCTGGACGTGTGCATAGCCGTGACTCGCCCTAGCGGCACACCCATGCGAAGTCTGTTGTACTCAATCTTTACTCAGCCTCTTCCTTTCCCACGGCTTCTCACGAGCTTACGGACCTCTATAAGCCTGTACACAGCCGAAAGCTCCCCCCCGGATCCTCGCCAACTCTCCTAACACGTCCTTGCCTACACCCCCCACTTCCGCCACTCCATGCCTTCCGGGGCCTTGCGCTCCTCCTCCTTCTCGTAGTCTTTCTTCCCCACCTCCTCCCAATTGGTGGACAGCACCGTCCCTCCCGACGTCTGGAAAGACTTGACCATCGCACGCCGTGTCTCGTCGGAGCCCTTGGCGTAGATGTCCCGGAAGAGCGTGTTCAAGGCCTCGTCCCCCTCCGGCTTCTCGCTCTCCAATTCCTTCGAGATCTCTTTCTCGACTGCACCCCAATCTTTGGTGCTCGCATATGGCCGCAAGGGCTTGCTGCTCGGAGCAGTGGCAGGGCCTTGTGCCAAAGACGGGAGAGCGGTCGCGTGAGAGTCGGGGGTTGGCGCGGAGACCGTGTGGACCGAGGCGGCTGCACCTGGCGAGAGAGCACACAGCTCAGGCCACGTCAGGCCTTCCATTGCTTTCCTTAGCTTGACTTCAATTTTGGTCGCGAAAATTTTGCTGGTACTCTCCTCGGGAACCACGGTCTCAAAAAGAGCTCGGTCGAACAAGACGTCTCCGTCTGCGCCCACTGAGACTTTCAGGTGGCGTGGCTGGACAGACACGTTGGCGTCCTCCTCTCTGAGGCCTTTATAGAGAATGGTGACTGTCACATAGGATGTGGTCTGGTAGAATTGAAATTTCACATGCCCGGCTGGGATAGCTGGCGCAGAGGAAGGGGGATGCGTAGGACTCGGCTGGGAGCGAGGAACCGTAGCTTCAATTCCCTTCGCACCTTCTTCTTGCCTCAATTCCTTTCTACCACCCTCTGCCACTACTGTCATGCCCTGCTCATCGTGCTCTCCCAATTCTAGAGTCGTCTTTCGCAGCCACACGTCGTATCTACGCCCTTGAGGTTCGGGTCGGTCGCCAAGCAAGGCACGCCCCCGCATGAATGCCTCCTTGGCCCGTGAGAAATCCTCCAAAGCAAACGCCGCGACTCCTTGCCGATACCATGCTACTTCAAAGTCAGATTTCAGGGATGCGGCGGCTTCAGCGTCGTGAAGGGCTTGTGATGGCTGATTCAACTTCAAATGCACTGCTGCCCGCGAAACGAGGGCAGTTGCGTCGTCAGGGTGCGTTGCAATGTAAGCCGAGAAGAGCTAGAGTTGTAGCGAGAAAAGGCGAATGAAGAAAGAGTAGGGAATACAAACGGGGAGGCACGTGGGTTTACAGAAGCGGAAGCTCGTGGTGGCGTGCTTACAGCCCAAGCGAAGCTCTGCCCTCGACCCCCCACTTTATTCCATCGCACCTCATCCGCCGTGGCGTAGTCCTCGTCCATGAATGCAAGCTGCGCCTGCTCCATAGCTTCTCACCGTGCCTGTCACATCGAAGACCGTATGTAAGATTAATGAAGCAAACCTTGTGGGACGCGATGGCGCTGTCTGGCAGGTTGTAAGGCGTCGCATTTTTAATCTCTCGATTTATTAAGCGATGAATTTCTTCAAGGCGAGGGCGAGGAGGATGGCGCCCACAGCCCAGCCCATTCCCAGAGGGCCTTTGTGCAAGAGGCTTTCCATGAAAGCACCGTGCGATGGTTTTCAAACATGATCAGACTTAGCTCACATTTGCTACTGCTCCTCTTTTCCACGAACAGGCTGCTAAGGACCGGTCAAAGCCGAAAGCCAGGGCCAGGTCCATATAGCGCCCCGTTCGCGCAATCAAGCAGCACAACGAAGGCTTGCTCTTTCAGTAAACTTTCGTTGTGCCCACTGCAGTCCATTCGCAAGACTTTCGGTTCAGAATAAATTATGGAGGTTGGTGGGGGCGAGACCGTGGAAAGTGTGCTGAAGCGATTGGATCAGAAAAGCGAGTACGCGGTGGTCCGAGGTACATGTGTTGGCATCCTGTTCATCTCGCTCTGGGCTTTGAATCTGCATGTCTTTAAAGTTGCCCACATCGATATATCGTGCATCTACCCCGCTAAGCTCGTCAGCGCGGGGGGGTATGGTGGGAGCGGGAAAAGCGACCATGGAAGCGGCTCGGGGGGCAGCAGCAAAGACGTCGGCAGGACTACAGGCAGCAGACGGTCGCCCTCGGCCGTGCTCCAGAAGCAGCAGCAACAAGCCCAGCAGCCTGTGTGTCACCCGCGCAAGGTGATAAATTTGGTGACTGTGTTGGTGCTCGCCATGGTGTTCTGCATCCTCATCATGTCCGAGCTCCTGGGGCAGCCCTACCAGCACGCCCCTTTCATCTTCTACTTTCTGCTCTTGGCCGCAGTCATCTACCCATCGGACACCACTTTGATGTTCAGAGAGCTTGCCCTCTTATTTGGGCGGGTCCTTTGGCTGGTGGTGCTCCCGGGGACCGAGATTCACTTCCTGGAAGTGTTGGTCGGCGACATCCTAACCAGCCTGTCCAAGGTTTTCTTCGAGGTCGGCCTCACCTGCGTGGCCACACTCCTTTCTTTGTCTCCGGGGCTCTTCCGCATTGTCTCCCCCGACATCTTTCCCACCCTTCTCGCCTCCACGCCATTCATCCTGCGCATTCGCCAGTGCGTGGTACAGCGCCGCGGAACCTCCTCTGGGAAAGCCCGCTTCCTCGTCTCCCTGAACATCCTCAAGTACTGCTCCTCCATCCCCGGCCTGTGGCTGCCGCTTCTCCTGGCCCCTCACTACTCCACCTACCAGATCGAGCGCGTGCTGCTGGTCGTCCTTCTCGTCAACTCCCTCTACTCCTTCCTGTGGGACGTGATCATGGACTGGGGCCTCGGCCACGTAAAGCTGACCGGCGCGCCCAAGAAAGGCGGCGGGGGGGCCGTGCGGCTACGACACTGGGGCCTCCGACCCACCCTCTTGTTCGGATCGGCCGGGTCCTACTACGCGGCCATCGGGCTGGATTTGGTCCTTCGGCTGGTCTGGGTCTTAAAGTACGTCAACTTCGACCACCGGCTCTCGTATGACAAATTCATGCTCCTGATAGAATGTCTGGAGGTGCTGCGGCGTGGCATATGGTCGATTTACAGGATTGAATGGGAGTGTCTGAGCATCAACGGGGGTAGAAAGGGGGGTGGATTGCTCGGGAGGGTGGAGACGCCGATGGGAGGGGGGATCGGCATGGTTGCGATAGGAAGCAAACGGGCAGGAGGGAATGGGGCGGGGAATACGCTAGCGCGAGATGTGGAGGGCGAGGTAGATTTGGAGCGCTCTGTGGGGATCGAGACTGAAAGTGGGGGCGGCGAGGGCACCGATGTGACGACCGTACTCTTGTCGCGCTGATCGCAGTCATGCCGTCGGCGAAAAAAAGGGATTCGCAACCGCTCGCTCATGGCGTGCACCTTTCCGTAACTGTAAGTATATTTTGAGAAGGTATATTTTTTAATCTTCACGCCTGAGAACTTGTTGGCTTCTTGAGATAGAGCCAGCTGAAAGTATAAGTACATTTGTCTGCCCGTCAGGTAAAATAGTTGAAATGACAGTCAACCCTTGCGCAACTGGTACGGCGAAAGCTCGCATCGTTCTTTCAAGTGGCATCGACTGGAGAAGATGCCCCTCCCCAATCATCCTTATACTTTAAATTACAGTGCTGTCGTCGTTGTAGCCGCGGGTCTTCCCTTGCTTTGTGTCCTAGTGCACTCAAGGTTTGGATACCCCTGGGAAAGATGTGCCTTCAGACCCCGCTGGCCTAACTTAGTCCTCTCATGTATGCATATGAACAATTTTTTTATGTGTCTGGCAGTAAAGGACAACGCCCCCGCACTGCTCGCCCCTTTGCCCCCGTCAATGCTGTCGAATCACTGGCCATGGCTGGGTGTGGCGAGGTCAAACACGGCACACCTACCACTGCACTCTACAACATTCGGGCAGCCCCCCCCCTCGGCCCGCCGTCTCCGTCTATTTCCACATGGCTCGTCGCTCTCAGGCTACCACCGCCTCTACATCGAAGCTCTCCTGAAGTTGATCCTGCTTCTCCTCTTGCCTTCGTTTTTGAAAATTTTCCGCCTTCGCCTCCTGCACGGGGCCTTTCCGCTCTAAATGCAGGGCTTTCCGCAGGCTCTCAGCGAAATCCACCACGCCCCGCACACTGAATTTCTCCGCAATGAAAGGCGGAATCCCAGCCGACTTAACGTGGCTAATGGTGGTGAGATGAGCGCGGTTAGGGTCTGTCGGGTGGGGACGTACTTCTGTGACGCCCAAAATGATCTCGGAGCGCGCAAAGCGGGAGGAGCGCGGCACTTCCGGATGGTCTGTGAACTTGGTCAGCATCACTTGAGAGCCGTCAGGGCGCCGAACGACGTGCATGATCGTGCAAAACTCGTGCGCCTTCTTCTGCAGCGGGGGTAGAGTTCTATTCCAGACTATCTTGGTGTGGGGCCCGACACGCGCCACGTCGTCCCGGCCTTTGCTGTACTTGTTGTACTCGCCCACGCGTTCCGAGTCCACCAGCAGGTCCATTACAGCCTCAGGGGAGGCGTGCAGCACTGTCGACAACTTCAGGCAGGGATACTCCCGCCCATACGCGTCTTCCGCCAGATTCCGCCTCCAAATTTTCGTGTCCTCTTTGTCCGACACAGGGTGCCAGCCCCCGCCCTCATCTCCCAACGCCTGATGGCCTTCTTCCTCGAGCGACTGAAGGAGGGATAAGTACCGTGGGTCCACTCCTTCCAATGAGGCAGCAGCGTCACCATTCAACATCGCCTCAGCATCCTGGACCAGGTGGGCCTGCTGCCGCCGAAGTTGTCGCAATAAGCGCTCGGCAAACGAACTTAGATGTCCCGCAGGCCTCCTCTCAGACGTACGCCGGCGCTGTAGACGCGGAGGAAAGCGACTTAGAAGTCCCGCCACCGCAGACGAGACCCGGGTTGATTGCAGGGTGTTCCTGACGCGTCGTACTTGCGACTGTAACGTCGTCCGGACGGCTTGGAAAGGCCTCAGTCGGCGAGTGACACCATCCGACTGGGAACTTTTTCGCTCGTAACTGAAACCCGAGTCCGCGGCCGCTGCTCGAGTGGCTTTTCGAAGCCGACGATAGCTTACTTTACTGCTTCCCAATCCGGGGACCAGATCGTGACGTCTATCCGCTTCCTCACTGCTGCCACCCGTGTCCAACCCACCAAATGTCAAAGGCAAATGCGTATAGCTACCCGCCGTGCTTGGTGCCTTTGCCTTAGTATCTCCTTGCACGATGAGCACTCGGGATACGACAAGCACACCGCATGCTACCACAACAAGCAAGAGACGAACCAACATGAGCATTTCTTGCTGACGCGCCTTCCAAGTTCTCCTCCTGAAGACACCGGAACATGAAGAGAAAAAGAAATCAACTTCAGTAATGATATGTAGCTCAATCAGGCCACCAAAGATGGTTACACATTTTTCAAGAATACATGCGTGAGATCTTCACTGGCGAAAATTATAGAAGGAAGCAATTTGCATGCCCTGAGGAGAGGAATCAAGGCTGAATCTCGAAGCCACTCGGACTTATGACTGACCCGATTCCTATGAATACGATTTTCCTGGTACCGTTGGCGTGGGCATGCGTTCAGCTGGCGCCCAAATGCCACAGTCTAATCAACAGAGTGATTCAGTAGGCACATGAAAGCTGGACAATTCACCGCGACTGGTCGTAAATCCCAAGGAAGGCGAAACGCCGCCTCGAAAAGTTCCTGATAGAACACGGCCGTGCGCCGTCACGCCGTTGCTCTGGTATATATGATGGATTAGGACCCGGGGCGAGGCGGGCGGCGAGGGCCGCCCAAGGGGGAGAAGGATGATATGATGGAAAAGGACCTTCGCGCCTTTTTCTGCGCGTTCTCGGTAGCATCGCGCTTGACTTGAGGACCCAGCCACACACACCACACACCTCCTCCTTGTCGTTTCCCGTCTTAAGCTTTCCTGTCTTTCTATTTGACCGTTCACGGCGAAGAGATGGAAGAGACAGCATGAAATTTTCAATGTTACCAGCACAATCTTTGTGGGTTTCGGTAGTCTTGTTCCATTCTGATTGCGAATTATTATCCGGACTATTGCCTTCAACGAACAACAACAGCAAGAGGCATCTGCAAGGAACAGGGGCTCGATGACAGCAAATCACGATTTGAGGAGAGCAGATCGGGCGAATGTGCAAGTGGTTCTACTATTGCTTGTTGTGCTAGGTGGAGCTGCGGCCTTTCTTCTTCCATCTCAGCATTCGACCATCACTAGCAAGGCAACTAGACGCGTGGCCCCTGTCCAGGCCACACCTTCTCCCGCGATCGACCAACACGATTTCGCGACCGTCAGTATTTTCAGTGGAAACGATGAGATCCAAACATTGGATGCTAAGGTATTGGCCGCCGCCAACGCGGGTCAACCTAGCAAAGGCACGGGAACTATGCCGCTCCTGGCGACGACAGTAGAGGAGAAGCCCTTTGACGCAGTAGTCAAAACATCCAGTGGCGCTCTTAAGGGATTTGAGGGGTTTGCAGTGTTGGGAGCCTTGCCTTTGGCTTTTTTCTCTGCACGCACATTGGACAAAAAGCAGAAGGAGACCGAGGCGGAGGCTGCTCGACAAATGGAAGACGACGCGGCTCGCATGGCGCTCGAGGCCGAGCAAGCGAGGGTGAAGGCCCTTGAGGACGCGCAAAAAGCTGCCAAGAGGGAGATGCTTGAGGCGAAGATCCAGCGAGCCCGCGAAGAGGAGGAGCGCCTTCGCAAAAATCAAGAGATGGAATTGGAACGAGAAAAACAGAAGCAAGAGCTCTTAGCCGCGCAGAAGGCGGCGGAGCAGAAAGTACAACAAGAAAAGCGAGAGCAGGAGCAAGCGGAAGCATCCCGCCTGCAAGCCAAACAACGAGAGGCGGCGGAGGCTGCCAAGCAGCTGAAAATTGAGGAAGAAAAGGCGGCGCAGGCTCAGGCTGAGAAGGCCAAGGCAGAGGCGGCGGCGGCGGCAGCAGCGGAGGCGAAAGCTAAGGCGGAGGAAGAGCGGGCTATCGCTGAGGCCAAGGCTCAAGCAGAGGCAGCTCAGAAGAAGGCTGAGGAGAAGAGACAAGAGGAGGCTCGTCAGGCGGCCGCTGCCCAAAAAGCGAAGGAGGAGGCGGAAGCGAAAGAGAGGGCGGAGCATGAGGAGGCCATGCGTCTGGCGGCTCAGAAGGAGAAAGAAGCTTTGGAAGAGAAGGCACGTGTCGAGGCACAAAAAGCAAAGGAAGAAGCGGCTCGTCTCGAGGAGGAGAAACGCGCTGCAGAGGAGGCAAAGATCCGGGCTCAGCAAGAGGCCGAGGCGGCGGCCAAGCGGAAAGCGGAGGAAGAGGCTGCTGTGCGCAAAGCCCAAGAAATAGAGGCAGCGCGCCAAGAGAAAGAGAGGCAGGAGAAAGCTGCTGCAGAAGCCAAGGCACAAGCAGAGGCAGCAGCCAAAAAGAAGCGGGAGCAGGAGGAGGCCGAAGCAAAACGAGAGGCAGAGGAAGCTGTGCGAAAAGCGGAGGCAGAAAGACTGAGTGCACTCAAAGCCGCTGAAGACAAGCGTAAGCAAGAAATAGCTGCGGCTGAGAGGGAAAAGCAAGCGGGAATTGCCCGAAAGGCAGCTAAAGAGCGCGCCGCCGTCGTGAGGGCCAAGCGCGAGAAGGAGAACGCGCTAGAGAAGGAGCGCCAAGAGAAGCTAAAGCGAGCGAAGGCAGCTGCACTGGAGGCTCGAGCGGAGATTGCAAAGGACTCAGACGAGAAGAAAGCGGTACCACAAGCAAATATCCGTGCTGCTAGCACTGTCGACCCAAGGGCCGCGCAAGCCCAATCCGATGAGCTTCCGGCCCCGACAAAGAAAGATAAGTCCGCTGCAACGGACGAAAGCGCCGAGCGTGCATTGCGG